CTTTCTTAATAATAAACTTAACTTGATCCACTATCTCCTCTTATAACTGTAAGAAGAGATCCATTAAAGATCTTCTGCTATATAAATACTGTTAAAAGAACTGGAATAACAATACTTATAACAAAGATACTGAAATCATTATACAAGAAACAAGAATACTTTGTTAAAGAGGTGTAGAAAAAAGTTTGCACTTGACTACCTATCCTATATAAAGTGCAAACTTTGCTCGTATAAATGATCAAAAGTATGTAATAACTAGTTATAAAATGATAATTAAGAATATAATTATCGAAAACTTGTTTCTAATTTAATTCTAATAACTATAATATATGTTGCTTTTATATATGTTCAAACTATATTTTGTCAGTTATACAAATTCATGTTCACTAATTCACTTAACTTCTATTGATCCAATATTCACTTATTTACTTGTTCACTTGTTTGTTCGCTCACTTGTTTATTTATTCATTCCATGTAATTAGATTCTTCTAATAAAATATAAAATATAAAATATTTATAATTCACTAATATTAAATATGAATGATCCAGTAAAATATTTGATTAAAGTTCATTATATAATAATATTATAAGCTAATCTTTAATTAAACTCAAATTAGACTCGAACTTATATAATAATTTGATTCAAGTTCAGTTCAAACTTCAAATCTTTCTTGAACTCAAATCAAAATTCATCAAGTTCAGTTTAAATTTTGAACTGAACTTGAACTCAGACAAAAGTTTAATTTAATTTAATTTATAGGAACACTAATTATCATTATATAAAACAAAATTTTTTTACTATGTTTTATTAGTAAAATTGCATATATGATTTCATAATTCTATTAATTATTATATATAATATTATTTTTATTTTAATATAAAAATAAAAAATTTTTATTAATAAAATTGAAAATTTTTATATAAAGAAAAAAATCTGTATTTTTCATATTTTTATTATATTTTATTAATACAATTTTTTGCATTATATTATTTTTGTTTATTACTATATATTTTTATAGATTTTAAATTTAAATTCAAGAATATTTCTGATTATAAAGTTGATTATACAAATTTTATAATCAGAAATATTCTTGAATTTAAATTTAAAAATCCATAAAAATATATATTAAAATACAAATTCTTGGCTTTATTTTGATATAAAACAAAAAATATTTATTAATAAAAATAAAAATTTCATTATAATAGAAATTTTTAATTTTTATATGCTTTTTAGTAATTTATTGTAGAAGTGTAATAAATTATTAAATTAATTATTAAATTAGAAATAAATGAAAGACAAAAATCTGAAATTATACAGGCAAATTTGTATAATTATTTACAAAGATTAAAAATCGATATTACGCGAAGAGTGATCATCAGTTTCAAGTAATTATCAAATTATTTGATTGACTTGTGTCACAATTAGCTATCTGTGCCACATGGTCGATCATCGACTGCAGCAGCCAAGAAGGATGTGCAAATTTTTGATTGAAGCACTAATTAAAAGCAATTTTATCTCAACGTTAAATTATAACGATAATTGACATTCATTACAGTAGAATTTTCCGGGATCGACCCAAATATTTGGGTGCCCAGAATCTAGGGGTGTGCCCCAAATAATCTGATTTGTACTGCTGCGCCCAATAGGTTTTATTATTAGGCATTGTGTAAGAATAGTTTTTGTCTCATTGTTCCAAAAAAATAGAATAAATATATCTGTAAGGATAATAGTTCTTAAATAATAATACTCGATATCCAACCAATCCGATCATAACACAATTCAACCAAAAAAATTACTTTTTACAGCATTTCAGAAGTAGGGTTCTATCACTGTTTTCGGTAGAAGTATCATCAAACATCATAAATCAATATAAAATAATTAAAAAATCATTAATCATCCGTCGCGAATCATCATAAATCAACAACCTACTAAATATTTTCGCCCCATTTCCTTTTCATTTTGATTTTCTGTCGCTATTATTACCACATCCTGCGTGTTATATATTATTATAATTATACTTATACAAATATAAATATATGAAACGCAAAAATTAATAATTTGTTGACTCATAACACAACCCACATACATATAGTCACACTTTTCTCTTCCATCATCAGCACGCTTTCACTAATTTTACTCTTCTTTTCTTTTGACTGCAAAAAGAGAAACGATGCCCTTTCCTTATTATTCAATATCGAAAACATTATATTGAATTAATAACAAAAAAAAAACAACGTACAAACAACTAAACTACTATTAACAAACAACACACAACACTACACACAATATATAAATATACACAGTGTATATTTATATTTATATATATACTTTCTTTTTGTTTCTCTTGTTTTCTTTTAATATTCTCTCACAATAATAATAATATTATTAGTAATAATAATACACACATATATATATATTATACTATTATATTCTTATCCTCTCATTCTTTTACAATCCACCATCACGACCCCACAATCCCAGAAGAAAACTTTCGTTTCTCTCAATTTGCACTCTCTAAAAAATTTCTCTCATCTACAACAGAGAATAAAAGAAACAACAAAATAACATTTTCAAAAAAATTAAGTGTAAAAATTGTACAAAATCTTTGTTCATATATTTTATTAGACTTATTCCACTAGAACTTTATTTTTCAACTGCCATAATATTAATAGTATATAATAATATAATATAATATAATAATACATAATACTAATACACATTGTCTCTTTATTCTTTTGCATCGTTGTCCTTTTTTTGTTTCACGTTTTTTTTCTAGTATTGATCACTCACATTTTCACACTTTACAAACAAAAAATAAAAATTTTATCATTTTCATAAATTCCTTATTAATAATCACTTCTATCAACTACGGACTTAAAAAAACGTCGTTAAAGATGATGCACCGCATGTCACTGGACGAACAAGCGTCCAACAAAAGTAAAGACATACACCAGCCTAAAGCAAAAAATCAACCGCAGGGACAGGTATGTTTTTATTATTCCATTAGAAAAATTGTCATCTTGGCTGGTTCTTAGTGGTTGGTTGTTCAACATTAGTCAGTACTACGCAAAAACTAGTTATTATTATTATTATTGTTGTTGATAAGTGTGTGAGATCAAGTATGCAAACTTTGCCTTTTTGGGTCAACTGCGTAAATATTTTAATAAGCTAAAAAAATTGGTGTTCACTATTTCTATATCTCGTGTTCGGATTTAGCGTACTTGTTCGTTATCTATCCTTTTCTTACCTTTATTTCTCTCATTTTATTCCCTCCTTTTAATATATATATATATATACATATATATATACATACATATATATATATATATACAACCACATATATATATAATAAATAATACACACATAAATATATTTACGACAGCAACTTGCCGCATTATTGAGAGGAAAACTAGACCTTCCCGATTACGACATGTTTTCTGACCAACCAAAAGATGTTGGAAATCGTTCAAGCAGTGCACCTCCAGCTCAAGCTACAAATCAGCTTGGTCGGTTTGACCCCTCTGAGCTAGACAACTCTACCGCGTCCGATCTACGATCCGACCCAGACTACGCCAACTTTTATTATCAAAATTCTCGTCATGACCCACGACTACCGGCCCCTTTATACACTCCTGGTCAGTCTTGGCCGGTGTGGACTAATAGTGGTAACGGTAGTAATGGGGGTAGCAGCAGCAATGGAGGAGGTGGTATTGTTGGTAATGGTATAGGAGGCAGTTTAAATTCTAAAACCATTGCAGGGAATGGATCATCATCCACTGCGGACAAATCGAAAATTTTAGAGCGATTCCGAGGCTTAGGTATGTTTATTGGTTTGTTGTTTAATTCGTATTCCATGAATTAAGGAAAGAGTTAACTATATAAATTCGAACATCTAAATCAAATCCCAAAAATGCTTACATTCAATTCATCTTGCAATTATTAGGAGATGGCGATGATGAATTTCAGCGTGATCATCCATTGGATCAAAGTCTGGAGCCTGAAATTCAATCGACTCTAAGTCAACCAGAGTACTCCACAGATGCATCAACATCTAATCTAAAATTTGATCCTTATAATGGCCAAAGTACCACCAGCAGTGCTGCGTCTCTTTGGCGATCAGAATTAGCATCCCCATCTTCACAATTAAATGATCCACATTCTCCAAATAAACGAAAAAATTTAGTGGAAATGATTCAAGAGGTATGCATGGAATATATATATATATATATAAAATATGCACATAAAAAGAAAACTAAAGTGCAAGTAAAAAAATTAATTCACTTGCCCTCTTGCTGTAAAAAAAAAACAAAGACTTTACTCATATATTTGGCACGAAAGAAAAAAAATAAAATATTAAATGTATGAATTCATATCTACAGGATTTCCCACGCACACCTTCGCCACTTTTCGCTCTTCAACAGCAACAGGCACGCCAGCGAGCCGCCGCCGCCGCCGCCACTACCAACAACAATCAGCAACAGCAGCAACAACAACAACAAGTCGAGAATGATGCGTTCAATCTTCACGATCTTCGGAATTCCCTTGATTTGGATTACAATAATTTACGTAACGCAACGAATGAAGAAGATCACTTAAATTCCGTTGTTAATGTAGCTTTGGACGAAGAGCATCTCGACCATCGTCTACCAACTGCTGCTTATCGAGGTCCTTCGCCTCCACTTCGTAGTAGTAAATTCGATCCTCCGCCACGAGCTTCTTCTACTCCACCCACTCAAAGTCATTTCCGTAATCAAAGTATTAATTTTGCTCAGGAATTTCATGGTGACTTGTCGCATGCTGAACATTTACTTTATAACTATCGATTTGATGGAAATGTAAGTCTGACATGGGTCTCGACAAATTTTTTGGTTCTACAATATTAAATGTTTTTTTATCATTTGTCAATTCTGACATGAAGGACGAGTATGCCGATGCTCTGCAACAAGCCCATCTCCGACAGCAAGCAATCAAACAACAACGAATGAAGTTACAACAATCACAATACAGTCCTTTCTTTAACGATACTACTTCTACAAGTGGATTTTCTCAATATGGACTTGGTTAGATCCTTTTTGTACTATTAGAATTATGGGTTTCTTTAAGTGATAATTTATAATACTAATTTTAATGAATTCATAAATAGGTGGAAGTCCTCCTCTTGCTGGATATCCTAAAGGTATGGTAAAAGAATCTTTGGAGAAGTATATGTTACAACGTGAAGGTTTGCTTTTACTCTGTATACTTGGTCTTTATTATTTATATATTAGTTTTATCATTAATTTTACTCTTATGCTATCGTTTAGATATGTACGGCTCAGTATGGGATCCTCGTGAAGAAAGTGCAATGAGTCGAAGTTTACTTAGTGCTGACCTTGCATACCCACGCCCTAACAGTTCATTAGGTTTAAATTCGCGTGGATATGAATATCAAAAAGCTCTTCAACAACAGCAAATAGGTTTAAGTGGAAGTGGACTTGTCGGCCGAGGTGATTCGATTCTTTCTTCTGAATATGGCGGCGTTTCGAAAAGCAGTCAATTTTACAATCCTGGTCTAAACGGTAGTAGTCTCGGTTCAGTAGGTAGTCTCACCAATACTCCTCTAAATGCACAGAGAGGTGTAAGCAATCTTGCAGAAAAGAATCTACGATTTCAGTCCCAACAATTGTTGCTTCATCGGGAACGACTCCAACAACAACAAATGTTGCTTGCACGCGAACAGTTATTACGGCATCATCATTCCGCTGAATATTTGAATGGAATTTCGGGATTTGGTGGAATTTCCAGTGGTCGTCGCAGTCATGACCTCAGTTCGAGCATTTCTGATCCAGGACACGGGATGCGCAGTCCTCTATTAGAAGAATTCAGAAATAACAAGAATAAAAAATATGAACTTCGGGTAACTACTTGATTACAATTTTAGGATTCTATTTTCATTTTGCTTTTACGAATTTATTTTTTAACTTGTGCTATGAACTTAATTTAGGACATTGTGGGCAACATTGTCGAGTTCAGTGGAGATCAACATGGTTCACGCTTTATCCAACAAAAACTTGAAACAGCCAATAGCGAAGAAAAGCAACTAGTTTTTGATGAGATTCTTCCTAACGCGTTACAACTGATGACTGATGTATTTGGAAACTATGTGATTCAAAAGTTCTTTGAACATGGTAACCAAATGCAGAAGACCATCTTGGCCAAACAGATGGAAGGTCATGTCCTGTCATTAGCTCTTCAAATGTATGGTTGTCGTGTAGTTCAAAAGGTTTGTCATTTAAATTGTATTTATTACCTCGATATCGAGTCGTCCGTTTATATATCATTTTTTTTATTATAATTTCACAGGCACTAGAACACGTTCTTACCGAGCAACAAGCCACTTTGGTCAAAGAATTGGACGGGAATGTGCTAAAATGTGTGAAAGATCAAAACGGCAATCATGTGATTCAAAAAGCAATTGAACGCGTTCCTGCTGAACATATTCAATTTATCATAAATGCTTTCCATGGGCAAGTTTATAATCTCGCGACTCATCCATATGGCTGTCGTGTCATACAGCGGATGTTCGAGCATTGTACCGATGAACAAACCGTAAGCATTCTTTTATATTTTCACCGTAATAAGATATTTTAGACATTATCTCTTGACACACTTGTATTTTTCTAGAAACCACTCTTGGAAGAGCTCCATCGATATACTCAAAATCTAGTACAGGATCAATATGGAAATTATGTAATCCAACATGTATTAGAACGTGGAAAGCCCGCCGATAAATCAATGGTGGTAGCAAAAGTTCGCGGTAATGTCTTACAAATGTCCAAACACAAATTCGCCAGTAATGTGGTGGAGAAATGTGTCGCCTATGGTAGTAAGCGTGATCGCCAGTTGCTGATCGAAGAAGTCATCACAACAAAACCTGATGGGTAAGTATGAAATTTTGGTTTTCCGAGTATTGTCAATAACAAAAATAATAATTCAATATTCCGAATTTCTATAGAACGTCGCCATTAATTTCGATGATGAAAGATCAGTATGCTAATTATGTAGTTCAAAAGATGCTAGATGTGGTGGATGGTGAGCAACGTGACCTTTTGGTTGCCAAAATCAAACCCCACTTGCAGTCTTTAAAGAAATACACGTATGGCAAGCATCTGATCTCAAGTAAGTTTTCTGAATCCTGTATGTATAAATACTTTTTTGACTGGTCTAAGGGGAAAACAGTATGAATTTTTGCCATTGTGACAATTCACTAATTATTATTATTATTATTATTCGATAAACAGAGGTTGAAAAAATTTTTATTCTAAACGAAAATCAATTATCATTATTGACAAATCAGCAGCAACAACATGATAACTCTTCTGAAATGACACTTTCTTGTTTAAATTCACCCACTGGCTCTCGTACATCTTTTGGCACGGGTTATACGACACCTGTCGTTCCCACTTCACCTGTCATCAGTTCCGATGATAATTTACCCGATCATCAAACATGAGTATCGATCGTGTGTTTGTAGGTGTGACAATTCCTTTTCGATTTTTTGGGCTTTTGATAATGAAACCAAACATATATATATATTTTTCATTTTTTGCTATATTTTTTTCTAATAATTTTTTGGATGTTTGCAAAAGAAGTGATGATATATATATATTTATATATCATTCTTTTTCATCTTGCAACACATCTATCTGACCATTATTACTGCAACTTCTACTACTATTTACCATATTCCCTTTTTAAATACACAACACCCACCACCCATTTTTTATGTCTATAGCGTTTTATTTGATTCTCCTTTGTAAAAATTTCATTTTACATATTATAAATAGTTTTGTTATATACCTTTTTTTCTTCTTTGATACCTTTTGTAAACTTTACGATGCATCATCATTTCTTCTGCTGCAACTAAATATACAGACAACACGAAGTATTTTTATATATATGCACAGACGTGTATATCTCTCTTTAATTATATTAGATTATCAGATAGAACAAAAAGCCTCATTATTCACGAGAGAGTGCGTGCGTAGTGATGGAATTGTAGTTATATGTTTTTCATCTTTCACCATCTTTTATTATTATTATTATTGTTGTTGTTCATGAAGGGGGATTATTTTGATTAGTTCTTGCTTTTGGCTTTTTTGCTTTTTTGCTATTCTCTCATTCGTCTATCTGTCTGTATCGCGTCTTTACCTTATTATTGTTGCACTTTGGGGTATCTTTTTTTAATATATAGACCATGTGTTATATACACATAAAAATTATAATTTGATGTAATTATAATACAAATATTATATTTATTTTTTATATATATTTCTAATTTTTTATAATTCTTTTTAATCTAATAATAGTTAGTTAATTTTTATATATATTAAAATATATATAAATATCTTTAAATAGCACTTTTCACTTTTTTAATGTTTCATCTTGCTCTTTGATATTATTATTTAATACTACTAATAGTCATTAATGAATATTTAATACTACTAATAGTCATTAATGAACATTTAATACTACTAATAGTCATTAATGAACATTTAATACTACTAATAGTCATTAATGAATTCTATTCCTGAAGAATAAGAACCTAAAAAGACTTATTTAGTTAGCTGTGTACCCATTAAAAGCTTTGCAACCCAATGTTGGAAAGCATGACGAACATAATTATATCTAATGATGCAGATGATAATCACAATACCAAATACGCGATTTCAACGCGTAACGGTAAGTTAAATAAACTTCGAGTTAACCGATCATCTTATGCATCTTTAACAAGGGTCGATGATAATAATACGCCATTGCGATATACATTCTGTAGTTTCCTTGTTCGCGTTTTTTCTACTCGCGTCATAAAAATAAAAAACCCTGCAAGTAAAAATAATAGAATCTTGATAGCAATTAAATGGAGGATGCACTTGCAAAGCCAAGAAACGTTACTCATACTCTCTATAAGCTGTATAGCTGGCTGGAAATGGGCACTATTGATCTTAGTCCTGAGTTTCAGAGAGGTTTGTATGGTGAAAGAAAAATTTGTTTTGCCATATATTCATTGGATTGAGCTTATAGAAAAGTCCTAAAAGGAAATGATAATTATACTGTATAGAGATGCAGACGTTTCTCTGGTCAAGGGTTGCAACCTAGTTACGTCATTAATTTTGGGTTGCAGCCTTAGCTACGGCATGAATGAAGTTATCATGTTTTGATGTTTGCATCTCTGATATTATGTATCAAGAAAAAATGTTCAAGTACATTCTAGATTATTATTAAAGAGAAAAAATATTCACTTAATTTTTGCTTTTAAATGTTCAATTCTTTCTAAAAATTAGATGTTGTTTGGACTGGTATGTTGATACTGCTTACAATATAGATGCAATATTGGTTTTGGATTATATATATATTCATATTCTTGATTAATCTTATTTAACACTAATTTTCATAGCTGCCAAACAAAGTCACTTAATTGATTCTGTATTCAAGAACTTTTACATTCCTCCCATCATTTTTTCGTGCAAAAAACTTGATGACAAACGATTTATGCGGGTATGCATTGATGGAAAACAGAGATTAACATCAATAAAAAGGTATTTCACAAAATATTGTAATTTGTTCTTTTTTGATCAAGTAAATTTTAACAAGCAATTTAACTTGAATTAGATTTATTGATAATGAGATTCCTCATATTAAACTCTTCAATGGTAATAATCAGAAATATTATTACAAAAAGCCAAAGAATACAAAATCAGAAGTTATTACACAGTTTGAAAGGGAGGTTTTTGATTGCTCTGAATTTGTCTGTGGTATGTCATTAATTAGTGTTTTCTGAATTAAATGGGATTTGAAATGAGAGAATTTCTAATATTTGATATCCATTTAAAATCAAAACTTTATATAGTGGAGTATTATGATTTAAATTTAGAGCAAGAGCAAGAAATATTTAGCCGTGTCCAACTCGGAATGCCTCTTACACCTGCTGGTTGGTAATCTTACAGATATGAACCGCGTATCAAGTTACCAAATCATCATTAATACGATTTATTCTTTCGAATAGAAAAATTGCAAGCTATCAGCAGCCCTATGTCCGAATATGCACATCAAATATTCAGTGATTATCCTTCCATAACTAATATCATGGATGTAAGTCGTGGCCGTCCATTCCAACTGATCACTCAATCATTACACATGATCGAGACTCAACCACCGCTCTTTCGAGCAACGCCAACCACAATTTCTAAATATCTGAAGGAAGATCGGCCAGTACCACGAAAATTACTTCGTACTTCAAAACATGTCTACGACACACTCGATTCGCTAATCAAGGCAGATGTGGAACTCCTTAACCAAAACAACAAACTTGCACCGATTGAGTTTGTCTTTTTGTGTTTTATGATTGCAAAATATCCCGATTTATCCATCTCTCAGTTTCAGTATTACATTACCGCAATGAAGAAACTTGTCAGACAAAAGCATGACGACATTAGATTCAATGGTAAAGTCTACGAAACGCTCAAGCAATTCGTCGATAATATGGCTGATAGGATCGGCTTTGAATCTCAAAATTCTTTTCCACATGGATATAAGAGAATCAAGCGCGAAATTGAAGAAGACTAAATGCTGGTGTTGCAAGTTTTTTTTGTGTGTACAGACGGAGATTCATATATTCAATAATTGATTCCTTGTATATATAAATATTTATTTTATTTTTTGCTTTTTTTTTATAAGGTAGCATTTAACTACTCTATGTTTTGGACTATTCTGGTTTATTTTTATTTAGCTTTTAATATTTCAATTATTATATATTTTTCTAGCTATATAACACCTTTATAATAATTACTATTATTATAACTAAATAGAAAAAAAATCAATACCAAAAATACTTTATCCCCTCAAACCATCTTTCTTGGCGATCTATGCGATTTTATTCACTGGAACCCTCCAGCCGGAGGATTCGGTGTAGACTTTGGCGTAATCGCCAAAACCTGATACACGTTTCCCATTCCAATTGGATCTATCAATCGTTTATACGATAAAATCAAATCTTGGTGTCGTGACGGAGGCGTTTTTTCAAGCAACATTTTCAAACGGAAGCTGATTCCCATAGAATGTAAAAAGTGGGCTTGGGTGATTGGACCAAAAGTATCCACTTTTAAAAATGTAAATTTATGTGGAACATTATTTTAAAATAAAAGTAAATGAAATAATTATTGATTTTATTATGTTGTTACCTAAACCTTTACACGCGTCATTAAGTAATTTGAAATTTACGTCGGCACTCAAATCCGCTTCACCTGGCCTGCTGATCAAATCCACAAATTTATGTTGTTTTATTGCCTACATTTGTGAATTCAGATAAGAAATGTAGAAATATTTTAATCACAATATAATGATAAATGAACCAAACCCACCCTTAATGTATTCCCCTGAACAAAATTTTTTCCATAATCAATAATAAGGGAAGATCCGCAATTTTTATTAACACTTTTAGCGATCTGATTTGCAACCCGCCACGCATCTGGAGCGATTTCAATGCGATCGCCTATTTTATAGAGGTTTTCGTTACCGTTATTGTTATAGTTGTTGAGGTGTGTGCGTAAGATAAATAGGCTTGGTGTCCGCTTTGGAGAGATGATTACGCGAAAGTGGTATGGACTTTTTGCAAGGAAAGGAAATTAAGAAACTACAAGGATGCTTGATTTTTTATTTTAATTATTTTACCTTTGATCTGTTTCGTCGATATCTATCATCAATTCACTCCATCCTTTTTCTGTGAGCTTATGTAGTTTTTATCGAAATTGTAAAACGAAATTTTGAAAAAACACGACATTCTCAATTCAAACATAAAGACTTTCAAAAGTCCCTCATTAAAAAACATTTAGATAGTCATTCTCTAAACATAAATGCTTGGATACATACATACCTCAAACCAGTAAACAGGAAGAGCATCAAAAAATTCATGCGCAATAATCATTGACCATCCATCTTCATTATTACAATTAAAGATCAATCCGACAGAATCTCAATGAAATCAAAAATTGAAAAAGATAATAGAGAAAATACCGGGAACATCCTCAAATGCGTCATGCCAGTAAAAATTTAATCCAGCCTGAATTGCTTGTTTCTTAGCGTTAACAGTATAAGTCGTATTAGTCAACGATTCTTGCAAATCATTCTTCTCTCTATTCTCATTATTTTTAATTATATAAGGATTTAATTTTTCACGTTGAACTTCTCGTAATCGTGGACTAGCCTCGATTAAATGAATTCCGCTAATAGAATTGTAGCATTCATGAAAATTTTGAAGCGCCTACAAGATATAACCGATTTAGTAAAATAACAATAGATTTGATTGACTATTTATTCAAGAATTTACTCGAATCATATCATCTAGCAAGGTTCCTCTTCCTGGTCCGAATTCCACTATTCGCACATCTTTTGGTTTGCCAAGATTTTGCCATTGATACACAAACCATATTCCGATCAACTATTAATTTAATTATCAAGAATAAAAAAAATTGTTACAATATACAAAACTGTATTTGAAATAAACCTCACCTCGCCAAACATTTGACTGATTTCAGGAGAAGTGATAAAATCTCCTTTTACACCAAATACTTCATGTTTCATATAATATCCACTAATAGGATTCATCAAGACTTCTTTCATGTATTGATAAATTGACATTGGACCATTGATCTAAAAAAACTGACAATAAAGAGATTTTCTCCGTTATTTACAGTCATTAAATTTAAACGGGATAAATAGGCTGGATTTGTGACCTTGATAGAATTTTTTAGATATTCTACAAGAATTGTGGGTGTTTCTTTATTTGTTAAGGTTTTCGAAGTAGTTGAGTAGAAGCATTTTGATACTTTTTGATGTAAAGCCCTTCTTGCATGAAATCTATTAAAGAAATTACGTATCATGATCTAAAGTATAAAATTTTAATTATCGGATCTATAATAAATATCCTCGTAACTAGTAAGGTACATGCGTGGATCACCGATAATTTTAACTTGTTCTTTCTGTAACCATGGATAATTTTGTCGCGGAAGACTTTTTCGATAGCAAATTATTGGAATATAGTAAACTTATCTTGGTAAACTAAATATTAAAATACAATCATTAAAATGAGATATTTTGCAGATAGAATATTAATATATTTAATTAAAAGCCGTCTGTGTCGATAGGAAATGTGCCTCAGCTGACTATTGACTTGTTAACAACGACACTTGATGTTAAACGGGTCGGTTTTATAGATGATGAAAATGTAATACCTGTGGCTGGTACACGCGAAGACACACAAGGCGCTGGTGTCACTGTCGCTATCGAAGGCAAGTTTCTGTCAATATCTAAAAGGTTGTGAGCGAAATATTTTCTGATAACTATTAATAAATTGGTCCAATCTTGTATAGTATTTCAATCAAATGATCGAAAGTGGACTTTGATCCAACAGCGTGCTCCATTAATTCGAGTGAGCAAGTTTTTTCCTCGGAATTCAAATCAAATCGAATCATTAACCTATTTCAAAAAAAAATAGAAGCATTTGCCTCAATTTGCAAGGAGCTTGATTTCCTTTATTGAGGCATTTAAATTTTCTGAAGTAATATTTTTGTCAAGTGCTGATGCATGTCGACGGATCGATGCTCAAATAATAGGGTATTTTGTTATTTTTTAGATTCTAGCTTTTTAATTTTATAGAATAAAAATTCATTTGATTCCTCATATTTTCAGTACACCACTTCGCATCCTTACGACTTCATCAATCTCCAACGACCTCCAAACAAGAATCACATCACTCGAACTAAAACAACTTGAACATGTTAAATCTGAAGATTTCATAAAACCTCACCATCAGCAGGATGTCGGTTCTACCACTACAGATTCTGATGATGTGCCTCAGATTCCTGGTGGAGGCGTTACAAAACATCTTTATCAACTAGCCAAAGAAAAAAATTTGCCGCTAGTTGTGATCCTTTGGTTTGCGACTGAAGGAGGCAAGAATTATTGTGATTTTATGTGTTGATTTTTTTAATCTAATCTTATAGTCTGTTATTTTTCAGACAACACCCCAGATGCTATTCAACTCGCCAATCACGCGAACTCTTTATTGGGATTATTTCCTTCTCAAGGTATACTTTTTTGACCTTTTTCTATATGGTATTAGCAAAGATTGATTTTGTTTTATCTGTATTTTATTACAGATTCCGTAGCTTGGAAAGCACCTAAGAGCTGGCAAGGAATTTTTGGAAAACCCTTCGAAAAAGAATTATATTAAATATAATAATATCTAATATGAAAAGTTGATCTCGTCACTCTTAGATCTAAAAAGTATACCAAGATATTAAAAGGACATGTAACTTTCGCAATACTATGGCGCTGCATTTTTGATATCCAAAAAATATTTTTGCAATGAAGTCACATGAAGGCGAGACATTTTATTTGAAATAAACTATGCCCGTTTTGGTTTGTAATAAATTAGCAGGACCCGGAAAATTCTGCCAACATAAATCAAGTGTAAAAGTGTTACATTCATAATGGTAGTAACAGAAACTGAACAAATTTACATCAAGGGATTTTTCCGGGTTCCTGAACCATCTTATTCGGCGATTTTAATTCGTTTAAATAACTAGTGTGGAAAATTGCGAAATGATTCAAACTTATATGGTAAAGAAGGATTCCACAAATTTAAGAGTTGAAGCGTCGACGCTAAAAGATTTACGACATAGCACTCAGGGATCCGGAAAATTCTGGATCAAAGTCTTAAGCTAAATCGGTATATATATAGGGTATATTCATATTAAATTTTGGATTGGATTCATTTATTTATGTAACACAAATTGTAATCCAAATTTCTAATCTATCTTGTTCGATATATGTGAACAAGATTGGATAAAATTCGATTAGTTTAATATACTGATAGATATTCAATTCATTACGTTTGGATAGATTAATCGACTTTACATATGTTATGCAAAAATGAGTCAAGATATTCTTCCCAATAACAATCAGCTTTCCTTTAACAACTTGATTCCAACAAATAGTCCAATTATTAATAAAAGCAAAAAACAACCTGCAAAATGGAATTTCAACTTTACATAAGCACTTTTAGCTTTCTTGATCTCATGACAACAACAATTGATTATCTGAATTCAAAATATAAATGAATCAGTTGCACAATATACTAAAGATGTTAGATTTCTTTTGTCAAAAATAGATTCAAATGATGATTATTCAGAACATTATAAATTTCAAGAATTTATCAAAGATCTTAATGCTCAAATCATATTTTTTGTCAATAAAGAAAATTCAGTCACTTTAAATCAAGCAATTAATTATGTCATTCAAACTGAAACTGATTACTGTCAAACATATAATAATTTCTTTTCTACTGCAGTTGTTAACAATTAAATACCACAAACTTTCAATCTGCCAATCAATAATTATAATAATTATTTATTTGTACCAACAATATCAATTTCAAATCAATCAATCAACAATTGGAAATAATCAAAACAATGATATTAGCACAATCTTACAAGAATTATCTAAACAAGTTAAAAATCTCAGCAATAATTATAATAATAATTATCATAATAATAATAATAGTAATTATCGAAATAATAATTATCATAATAATAATAACTATAACAATAATAATAATTACAATAATAATACACATGGTCTCGTAATGACACTCTTTGAAGACTTGATATGATTTGGTGCAATACAACAACAGCACAACACCTAATTCACTCAGCAATTATCGATAATGAATGAATTGATTCAGATCATAATATAGTAATAGCAGATTTATCCTTTCACAATATCTTTCACACAACACCAAAACACATCATAAAAAAATAGAAAGCTAAACGCAAAGTTTTTATCACCAAAAACATAGAAATAGATACATGGAAAAAATATGAAAAAGACACTGAAAACTACATTAATCATCACAATTCCAATTATATTATATCCTTGAATGAACGATGGAAGTTGATCAAAGATGCAATTCTATATTCAGCCAACTCACACTTGAAAACCAAAAATCTTTCTAATGAGAAGCAATTCCCTTTAACTTTATTCAACATCCAAAAAGCCTGCAACTAATTGGAAATCTCATTCATCAATGCAAAGTTTCCCAAACAATCAATGTCGAAACAATAAAATCTACTCTATCAAATATTAATATTCTCGTACCCAGTATAAAAACACAACAGAACAATACAACCAATCTTAATATAATTTTACCAATACTCAAAAATATTAGAAATAATTTACAAAACAAAAAAAAAATAAAACTTAAACAACACCAAACTAATAACATAAAAATAGTCATTCAAAAAAACCAAGTATATTTCACAACAAATTGCAGTCATATGATTGCTAACATTCTAGAAAAATCAGATAATTCTATTATTATCAACAAAGTTTTTCAAAACAATGAGTTCATTAACAACCCACCAGAAATGCTCAAAGTTGTCAAACATCACTTTTACAATTGGACCAGGAAACGATTAACAAAATCTTGGTCATTTGATGAATGGAAAAATCAATATGAACCCAAATCACATATCCCAAATAACACTTTCAGCTCCATAATGAACATTATATCAGAAGAAGAATTTGACAAAATCGTAAATGAATCATCACCACACAAAGCACCAGATCCCTTCAACATTCAAAATATATTAATTAAAAATGCAAGCTCTTTGTTGAAATAGCATTTATTAAAATTATATAATAACTGTTTCCCTGTAAAAAAAAATAAAAAACAAAAATCAGGAAAAAATCCGGTTTTTTAGTTCCGGAAAATCACGGGTTTTGTTAACAAATTTCTGGATTAAAATCTGATAAAAAACTGCTTAAAAATGAAAAAAA